GCTCTCCACACTATGATCACAGCATGGTCCTAGTGTACAGAAACATAACTCACCCTATTGTGCTTGGCCATAGCATTCTGCTATCTTCTGGTATCAGAGAAAGAGAATGTTTGAGAAATGCCCCAAAAGGTAGCTACTGTAACAGCCACCTGAAGAAAGGTCTACTTATTTGTACAGACATTTCATGGTTCTCAGGAACACAAGGTAAAGGGGGATTCTGTCTCCACTTGAGGTTGGGTAAATTCAGTGGCATCTAAATTCCTTTTTTAAAATATAGTGAGAACAACAGGTTTTTAAGTAGAGTGTGTGCTTGAAATTAGAGAAAATAAAATCTCAAAATCCCAATCCAAACAGCCAACCCACAATTCAAAAACTTTCTCTTGGGTTAAAAGGAAGCCAGTATAGCCTAGAATCAACTCTGAGCTGTGAGAAGCACAGCAAACAGAAGTCTTTACAAGAAAGGGGCAAAGTAAACACTCAGAATTAGCCATAAATGACTTAAAACTACAGTCCATTGGTCAATCACAAAGGCACATATTAGCACAATTAAAAAAAAAACTATAAAAAGATAAAAAAGAAATCCCAGAAAGCAAACAGCTCCATACAAGAAAAGCCATGACTGAAAGTCTTAAGGGAAATCAAAGCATAACTTCAAATAAACTAGTCTCTGGTGGGAAATAAATATTGCATCTGCTCTCAATCTATTCTTGACTGGTTATTATAGTATTAGCACAGGCTATAATAGTTTGTTAGTGCTCATTTCACAAAACGTAAGCAATGTCCTAGTGAGAAAACCAAGAGAAATAACATAAACAAGTCAGAGACTCACAAATAAGTCTACCATAATCTATCAACCTGAAAATAACATTTCAAATGTTCATCACTAGCGTAGGCAAGCTTGTACAACATAATTGCTTCCTGCTAATTATAGACACAAGAAGTCCCAACAACCAATTCAGGAATGCAGTATTTGACAGTATATGCATTTTAGTTAAGTTTAATAAAGACTGAAGCCTGGCCACTAGATGTAAGTGAACAGGAAGTGAAGTTAGGAATAAATATTCATGTTGAGGTTTGTACATATATGGGAAAATCTAAAGTCTGCCGAAGAAGCAAAATAAATGATATCAATATCCCTGAACTTCTATATCTTGTTTCATCTGCGGAACACATTTGGTCTTTATTTTATAGCATCATAGGTATTGATTTACTTGTTCCAGGAATGCAAGCTCTATCTTTTACATTAAAAAATACAGGTGTGAAGCTAGATATATGGTATTAGCATATATAATCTGAAGGGTCCTCTCCAAGGAAAAGAAAAACAAAATATAAAAATTATGTAGAGGGGAGCCCTGCAAATGGGGAGCCCTGGAGACACAGTACCAGCAGATTCATAGTAAATGTACCTCTAACCTATGTAAGGGTAAAAAGCCACGTATTTCCAAAGTCCATCTGCATGGTGTTAAGGAGTGCACTGGATATTTTATAGGCACTCAGAACTTAGTGGTTCTACTCACTTGAGGAGCAAGCCAAGGATTAACTATGAAATTACACACAAAGCCAAGTTTTGGCCCACCCAAATAGATAAATAAATCTTAACTTTCACTCAGTATTATCTTAAATGACAGTTTGAAAATGATAGTTTGGATTAAATGCAATTTGAATTCATGCTGCGCCTGTTATTTAATAATTATCCAGCTAGCGTTTTAAAAATCTAAAAATGTCTATCCACTGTAATAAAAAAATAAGATTTTTAAAACCGTCCAATAAAACCTGGATGTACACAAGTCACAGACTAAACACTCCAGTTCCTGTGTGTTTGTCCACTCTCCAGGATGAACAGTAAGAATCTATGTGGAGTCCTTGACCTGCTGCGGACATCTGTGGCCTGGTGTCAGTGGAGTTACCCCCTGGGTAGAAAAGGTTACAACTTCAAAGCAAATCTGACCTATTTCTTCCTACTGCCTTATAACAGTTAACATATTGTATCTTTTAATAAATATGAAATACCAAAAGAGAAAATTCATATAGTTCTTTAATTTCTACTCATAGCTATGAACTATATTATATAAGTAAACAAATTATGATGAAAATTATTTACCAATCCAAGAAACATATTCCAGGCTTAACAGTTTGTCAAATATTTCTATGGAAATATTTACAAAACCTCCCATGTTATAGCACAGGGTATTATAAACAGATAAGTGTATGACAAAGAACATATTTTGTGTCTTTGAATTTGTGCATATGACTATCCACTGATCCAAAGAATTTCATTCTACATGCATCTACAAGAAAGCAAACTCTAGCTTCGATCTTAAATGTGTTCCACAGCACAATGTGTTACATTTCCAGAATGCTGCTATTTGAGGTGCTTTAAGGAGAGGGGTCTGGGGTCTGCTGAGCAGTCTTTAGGTCACTAGGATTTGTTGTTTGTTTGTTTGTTTGTTTGTTTGAGACAGGGTTTCTCTATGTAGTTCAGGCTGCCTTGAACGCACTATGTAGATCAGGCTGCCCTCGAACTCACTACAATCATCCTGCAGCCTCCCAACTGCTGAGATGATAGGCACATGCCATCATTCTTGGCAAGAGGTATGTCCTTGGATAGGAGAGTGGCACTGTAAACCCTTCCTCTTCCTGTCTTTGTTCCCAGGCGAAAAGATGAGGGTCTGTACTCCACTGTGTCAAAAAACTAGCAAAAATATCTCCCATGCAATGATAAGCAGTAAATTTATATCCTTACTATATTAAGAACGACAATTAGATGATTGATTGTTACAGGAAAATAGTGCAAAAAAATAGGCAAAGGATAAGAAAAGACAGTTTACAGAAATACAAATGGTCAGTGAACATTTTAAAAGATGCTAAACTCTATTCATGAATGTAAGAAGTATAAATTCAAAAACGAGGAGCTACTATTTTTCCGTGAACAGATCATACTAAGAATGATTGCGGTGACAAGGATGAAAATATCTCCAGCTGGAGAGGGTGTGGGGAAGCAAGGGATAGCACACCCATTCTCGCTGGATGGGATGTGGTTACTATGACCTGCTGGAGGGTAATCTGCAAGTATTTTTCACATCTTTAAGTGCTGGCATATTTTGATCCATCAGTTACTCTTTCATGAAATTACCCTATAGAATTCTCAAACAAAGATTCAGAAAATATATATTTAAAGATGCTCCCGCTAGCATTGTTTGTAAAATTCAAAAACACAAATTACAAAACTGGAAAGAGCTTAAATATCCCTCAATAAAATAATCCATTCATTCAGTACATACTACAAAGCCATTAGAAAGATTATGTAGGTCATTCCATATGTGACTGGTCTGAAACAACGAGTCACATGTCATGAGCTTTTGATATGCTAGCCACTGTTCTTAGCCTTTTACATAAGTTAATTCATTCAAGAAGAAAAAACACCTACTAGATGCATGGATAAGTACAAAATAAATATTTCACATTTGATTTATCTCAAATACACTAATATGTAGCATATGGTAAACATACAAACAAATATCATATATATGATATATATATATAATATGAAGTGCATTTATAAACACATACACATACATATTATGCCCAAAAAAATTTGGAAAGAACAGCGTCCCTAAATGGTTTATTGGTATTATAAGAGGAGCTAGGACTAGGGAACTTAGAAGGAAATCTTTGGTTTTTTATTTGTAATTTTCCGAATTATTTGAATTTTTCATCATACATATGAACACTTGTATTTTTCAATTGTTAATTTGCATTTTGTGCCTCGTTAGATTATAGTCTGTTTAGTTTTCTTTTTTTCTACTACTATATATGTACTATGTGTATGTGTGTGTATGAGTTAAGAGTAGATATAATAAATCTAGATTCAACTACTTATAGACTTCAATAGCATACTTATGCAATATACATTATTGTATTTTATAATCTAATAAATGTTACTCAGGGGAAAATGTAACAATACATGAAAGCTTTTTATACTCTTCCTAAAGCAATTCTTAACATTTTCAACATGAATACAGATTATTTAATAATTCAATTATTTAATAATTCAAAAAATCTAGGTACGAAAATCAATATTCAACAAGCTCATCAAAACACCCTATCTCATTTCTTTCCTTATGCAGAAAACTCCATAATATAACAATCTGAATGAGAATTCTCACAATTCAAAAACAACTATTTGATTGACAGGTTTTTCCTCCCAATATCAAATTAATTTAGTGGGTTTTTTTTTTTTTTTTTGTCTTTTTCGTTTTTACCGGTACCAGGGATCGAACTCACGACTGCAATTTAGTGGTTTTTTTTAAAGGCCAAGTTTAACTATAAACAAGACCAAAGTAAAGTGGAAAATATAAAAGATTATCCACATGAACTGCTCTTGTGTATACGAGCTTTAACAGCATGGATTGAGGATAACTTCGCACATCTCCATAAAGCACCTGGGACGTGGTGATTGTTAAAAGCTCTTATCATCATTACCACAGCTGCCATTTAATAGCTAGCTGCTCCTGTGGGTCTAAGACTGAGCTCCATACATCATACATATTAGCACATTTCTTTCTCATAACAAATTCACTGATCACTGAATTCATATAAAAGTATAAATACTAATTTCTATAAAATTAGAAAAACAGGGTGGCAAATAGTACTGAAATGTACAAATAGTTGAATCTGGATATATTATGTCTACTCTTAACTTATATACACAAACATATGTGTATTTTGTAGCACTAGGATTTGAACCCAGGACTTTGCACATGCTAGGCAAGCAGTCTACCACTGTGTTATATCCTTAGCCCTAGTTTTTAATGAGGTTTTGTTCCACAGGAACACAGCACACAAATGGCTTCTGAAAAGTCTTCAATGCCATTTGTTCTTCCAGTTAACCCTTTTATCCACTCCCTCTGAGCACACCTACCACAGGGGCCTCAGAGGCTCACATCGCTCTGCACTCAGCCTTGCATTCCGAGAAGCCCTCAGCCCTCTCAGATCCTCACCTGTCCAGCAGCAGTCCCAGCACTTCTTTAGTGGAAGCAAAGCCTCTGTAGGTTGACAGGAAGATGCTGATATAGGTAAAGTCATTGTCCCCAAAAGCTGTGAGCAAGTTCTCAACAAGTTTCTCCAAGGTGCCAGCTTTTATTGTCCTGATCTTACAGGTCTCATACTGACTGACTGTATGTCCTGGAGGCAGCTGGTCCCCTTCAACCTGTATAATAAATTAATGATTACTGTTAAGAAAAATTACTCTTTCAAGTAAAACTGAAAACATTGAAATAGTTAAAGTCACAGCCTGTCGTTTACCTTTTCTATTTAATTTCCCTGCAAGTCATATAAGACTATGCTCTCTCCTCTGAGAATATGCCGCAGGTGGGTGGCAATAGTGGTGCAGAACACGCGTTCCCCTCTCCTCTCCCAAAGGACCAAGTATTACTTCACAGCGGTCACAGTGGCTTCTATGTATTCTCATGTCAAGAACAAAGCTGGCATATTTTATCAGAGACGTTTCCTATTACCCCAGAATTGAGTTTTGCAAAGGTTATCAATTTTTCCTTTATATTATTCCGAGATAAGTTTTCAAATTCCTTTTTAAAGACAGCTCCAACAGCAGTGTGCCAGAATCAACTCATACTGGTTTTACAAAGGTGACTGTTAAAAATTGTTAGGCTTTGTGTGAATCAGCTGACTGTGGGAGTACATTCTCCATGGAAAGCTATGGAAAATCCAACCATGAGCTCAGATTCTTCAGCCCACGGGAAGCAGTACACATTCTGATTCAACAGCATCAGTAATCTGTAGCACTGGCTGAAATAAGGCTGTACCGAGCAAAACTGGGTTCATCTTTGGAGAGTACTAGAAAGGGTGCGCAGGTGCACAAGCTTTACCTTCTGGAAACTGGAAGTACACAAGAGAAAATGTCTACACATAAGAAGTAGTTATTACTTGGGAATAAAAGCGTAAGAATGGTAGAGATGACTGTACATTGGGAGGCATAAACATAATACATAAAAATTGATTGGTGATAAAATCTGAAAGCTTAAAGACCAAGTATGAGGGAAGAGAATTAAAGTGAAGAAAAATGTACTGTGCTTTATGTTCTACCATGAATCCACCTAATAAAGTATATAGAAAAACAATTTTCAAGTTTAATGCCTTGTCTTTCACAGGCACTAGTAAAACTGCCCTTCCAAGAGGAATTCTGAAATGAATCTTTTTCTAAAATAAATAATTATTCTAAGTTATGTGAACAACTGAAAGTTATCTGAATCATAAACTGAATTGTTTTACTGCAGATTTTCCTAAATAGTTATCAGACATGTAAAAATTAAAGAGGGACAATAAAAGAAAAATGAATCCCTAACGATAGCGATTGTGCTTCCCAAGAAGTGTTTGCTTTTTCTTCACCTAAACTGGAAGGCATGAAACAACTGGAGGGAAATTAACCAAGGAATTGCTTTTGGAAAGATCAAAAAGGTAGAACTGCTTTGAGAAAGGGGTTGAATTAACCGCTTAACATCATTTTGTCTAACTGTTAACAGAAATTAATAATAAGATACCAGCTTGTATAGTGAATGGCTTTATTGCATTTAATTTTTAAGTTTTCTGAGAAAAGGGACCAGGTTCATATGCAATACCAAGTGTTTCTTTAGGCCTTGTAGGACCACTGAGTCAGATTAAGGCCTAGCAACATGGTTTCATCCTCTATTACTCTATACTAGTTTTAGAATAAGTAAGTGGAATCCATCTGTTTCCCACAAGCTTTAATTAACTTAAAGCAGAAACAATAAGTGAAAAATATATACGGCTTCAAAACCTGACTACTCTACATTTTTAATTACTTGGTGCAATACTGCTTTAATTATGTGCTATAAAATACTATTTCCAAGACAAATGTAGGTCTTGAGGTCAAGTATGGAGACTACAGAGTTGAATAAAGTAAAAGATATTTCTCTACTACAGAATAATATGCTAACATGTGCTCTTAAACTCCAAGGGACATGGAACATGGCATCTCCAAATGGATCTCTTTATTCTTTGAGCATCTGTGCAGAACTTTGGAATGGATTTACATTGTAAAACATTACTATAATGCATTTGAGCCCCATTTCATATTTACCATTTTGCACTTAAAAAAAAAGAAAAAGGAAAATCAAGAGACTATAAAACATGTTAATTGTTATCTAAAAACATCTATATTTCTTTGATCTCTTTCTTAATACAATACTCAAATGTAGGGATGTTTTGGTTTTCATTCTGCACTTCAAAAGACCTGGCCAAAACAATTATCTGTATGCATAATATATTAAAAAGTAACAGTTAAAAATATGCTTAAATGTCAAGTGTTAACAGCAAAAGGAGTGGGTTTTCAATTGTTAGGGACATTCAAGCTCTAACTCTAAATCAAGCTTCCTTGATTTGTGTTAACGTCAGGGCTCTCTTACCAAGCAATTCTGTAATCTGATGATTCTTAATGTACTTAAAATGAATATTCCACTTTAAAACTCAATCTTTCTTATTGAAAGTAATAACTACTTAAAAGAACTAATTTTTTCACTGAGTATTGATGTGGTCAAAAATTCAAACACAGAGAAAAATCCTGTCAAAGGACCTGATGAAGTGGGTCCCTTTTCCTGCCAGAAAGCAGATTTGGCAGGAAGCCGCGGTTCTCCCTTGGGAATGGAATTATGTTTCTCATTAAGGCAGTCTCTTCCTTTCAGCCTGCCTTTTGCTCTGAAGAAAAAAATACCACTTTGCATTCCTGATTCCCCTTAGTTCCTTTTAACAATATTTGTTCCTCAGTATTTGCATCTGTATATCTGGAAGAATTGTGTTTGACCTTATAAAATGACTGAAACAGTTAATATTTAGATTTCAAAAAATAATTTTCCAAGTACAATAAATAAGCATCAACGACGATGTCATAAAGCAAAATATAGAATTGTTCTGTTACCTAAAATCATTCTCACAGAAATTAGCGATGCATGTTAAGGTATCAGACCATTTCCTTAATATCATTCTCTATAGATTTGCTAAATCCCCTAATGTGCCCTTGCTATCACAGGGAGAAGAACAGGATTTTCCAAATGAGTTATAATTTACCAGAATTTTTATGAAATAATATCTATTACCTACTCATTACTTCAATTATTTTAAAATAAAATTGTACAGAAGCAAAACACAAACGCCCACACACACACACACACACACACACACCCTAATACTCTATGCCATATGGCCAGACTGGGGAAGCTAAAATGTTAAAATCTCATTGCTGCAGAAAAAGATTCAATAGATCTGTAATCCTTTTAAGAGAATTCAGGACCTGTTTTTCTTTGCATTATCTTAACACTGAATTGAAGCTTGAAAGAAAAAGGGGCAGAACCCTTGGCAGACAAGTGTTTAATAACTCAGACTTAGAAAGTCAGACAAGGAGAACTGAGCTTGCCCTGTGGGTTAGCACGCTAACAGGAAACAGCTCAATCTGGATTTAATCAGAGACCATCACTTTGCTGACAAGATCCTGGTACCAAGGCCACAAAAATGTTTCTTGACTGATTTTTTGGGTCAATCTTTCTGCCATTAAATCTCAGCTTTTTCCAAAAGACAATGTCTAACTTCTGTGAAATAAGTATCTACAATTCTGCCCAAGTACCCTAGCTGTAGAATTTCCATACTTAACCAGTTTGGCCTGACTAGGAAAGGAGAACAGAGTGTGAGAGATGAAATATGCCACATTTCAATTATGTTTCCAGTCATGAAGAAATACACTTTTACCTTCTAAAACATTAATTATTCACAACTTGGGTGTTTCTAAGTTAGAAAAAAAATTCTTCAATAAAAATAATACTTCAGTCATCTGATACTTTAAAAGGGAATGAGCTAAATCAACAACTTTATCATCAAGGCGACAGCATGGAGTCTTTCTCCAAACCATGCTTCGTCTTCACAGTATCAATTCTCAGGCATCACGGCTTGAGCAGTGAAGTAAATGGTGAGCACTATTACAGTCAATAAATCCTTAAGAAAACTCCTTTCCAAAATTTTATAGAGCTTAACAAGGTTCGCATTGTTTCCCTTCCCTACATCCCAAAACACCACAGTGAATTTGGTTTTTTGGGGGGTTTTTGTTTTTTTGGTACCAGGGATTGAACTCACAACTGTGCACTTGCGAAGCAGGCACCTATGCTGCTGAGCTAAATCCTGGCCCCCAACAGCCAATTTTATACTGTTTTCAAATATTCTATAACTACTGTCCTGCAACAACAGATCAGCATAGTATGAGCCAATTCACAGATAAGCTCACAACAGCACAAGCCAACTCCCAGATAAGCTCTACTCATCCCCCCATGTTAACTGCATGTATACATTAAATTTCCTTATCAAGTATCTTAGCTACTTTTCTCTCACTGCTGAGACAAAATACCGAAACACTCACAGTTAACGGGGAAAGGGTTTATTTAACGCACAGTTTGTAGAAATTTCAGTCCATAGTTGGCTAGCTCCAAGGCAGGGTGGCACATGGCAGAGGGGTGTCACAGAGAAAAACAGTCCACAGTGTCCACGAGGTAGCATAAGCAACAAGAGATCTTAGCAGTGCCTATTGGCCCCTTTTATTTCACCCAGGGTACTTAGGGTGGGTAGTACTCACACCCTTAATCCTAGTGCCCGTGACCCTAGCACTGCACCATGAATGAATTCCAGCATCACATACTCCAAATTCAGCAACCTCCAAAAAAGCTCCACCTATTATCATATGAGGCTGTGGGAAGTACACCAAAACTCAAGCCATAACAACAGGCAAAGAAAAAATCCATTCTCTCAGTAGAAATCATGTGCACAGTGACAAACAGTAGAGAATTACGGTAAGGCACCTGAGCACTGAGGTATTTATACAGTAGACATTCAGAGTATAAGGTGAAATATATAAAAACTCTAGCATCTTTGATATAAGCTCAATATGAGCATGTGCACTGTTTGAACATCTACTTTGCACATGAACTCACTCTTTTGCTAGGTTAGGATTACAGATAAAGGATGCAAAGTGAGATTTTAATTTCAGACAAATAATAATTCAGTAATATTTTTGGTACGTCACATAAAGTATCTGAAACCCACTCACAATTTCCAAAAATTCTTTTGTTACTCAAATTACAAATATAAGTGTGTGCCACTCATATGCACATATGTCTCAGATACAGAGATCATCAA